AAAAATTGTATACATTCATACATACTGTATCACAAATTTATATTATAGAAACTTTGTTTTCTAATGTCTTTATCAGTTGTGCAAAATTTTTAATTTGTATTCTCTTGCATAAAATCCTTTCAACAGTATTTGTTTAGGAGAGGGTGGGGTATTTTAAGAATTCTTTATTTAGAGTACTATGCAATGGAGAAATGAGGAACTAAGTAAAAAAAGTTTGTAAAAGACTATTTTTATGATTTCATTATCAAATAATTAAAAATAATTCCGTTCAAAAGTTAAGTATATAGTAACAATACTTGTTCATAATCAAAACTTTCTTAGAACATTAATTAAGCTTTGTCAATAGAAATATCCTTTATATCTTCTTTACTGATATTTTGGTTCATTTGATCATTTTCGTATTCTACAAAATCATCAAATAAACTTGGCCATGCTTCTGCATCATCATAGGTGCCAAGATCGTCGCCAATACTTTCAGCAAAATTCAAAAACATATTCCATGTATCTCTAGGTATGCCTCGAACATGATGACATTCAAGAAATTTAAGCCACTTTGATAACAGAGGTGGTTCACGTATTGTAAAAACAAGTTTCCACAAAACAATTGCCATATCAGCTGGTAATATTCTTTGGCCAGAATTAATGTCTAAGCCAAACCGGAATGTAAATCGATAGAGATCTTTGAATAAATCACTGTTTACAGTTAATTCCTGAACAATTTCTGGTAATCTTGTTTGTATACCACGTATACTATCTACTTTCATTGCTTTTAAACCTGTTACAAATTCCTGACGTGTAAATTGGCACATCTGTTCAGCATTTAACTTCCATGCAAGAACAAGTACTTTAAACTCATCTGGTGATAGTTGTAAATCATTACAAAATCTTTCTATACCATCAGCTAAAATTACATCTTCATGTGAATCCTATAAGACAATAAAATATAATTTGATTAATAACTATCTTTAAATAAAAATTATATTTTAAATGTTTTGAATAAACCAATATCATAAATTTAATACTTAAATATACGATTCTTATACAATTCAATGTACAAGTAATAGCAAAGTTATTTAATATTGAATAACTAATAATTAACATAATTAATTATTCACAAAGAGTATAAAAGCTCCTTACCAATAAAAAAGTTTGTTGACATTTTTTTAATAAATTAAATACATGTAATATAATAAAAGAATAGTTTAAAAAGCAATAACTTTAAATTTCACCTTATATTGGTCGAATAAAACATTTAATTTGCTCTCTGATGGTTCCCTTTGTTGCTTTGATTCAATGGTTACACTGAGAACAGATGATGTTCCAGATCTACCCAATGGTGGTAAACGTGCATAAAACCCCCTTGATGAACGTAAATTATTTTGTGCACTTGGCATAGATCCACAATTATCAGATCCTACATTATTGAATGTTGATAATGTGGTTACTGATTTCCTGTTTCCATTTATATGTGTTTCAGGCACTAAGGGCCCAATTTGTTGGCAAGAATTTAAGAACAAACCTCTCAGTTCCATTGTTTCTATAATCATTATAATTATAACAAATATTACTAAATAATAAGTTAAATATATTAACAAAATTTTACTAATTTATATGAAATATATGAAAACACAATTGAAGTAAAACAATTAAAGAGAAAAACATGCATTCCTATGTATATTTGATATGTGTGCATGTGTGTGTGTGTACATAAAATTATAAGTAAAAAATACTAAAAAACTGTGCATTAGTAAACAATAGAAAAAAAAATAATAATGGTTACCGTCTTTATAATCCAATGATGTGGATTGATTGGCAGTGGCTGGTGGAAGAGGCACCTTAAAGCACGAAAAACAGTTTCCCATTGATGCTGTCCGTACTTAATATTAAAGACAATTATTCCATGCATGAGTAGTTCAGTCTTACATTGGCAGTCTTGATCAAAAGCTAAACAATAAGAAATATAACAAAATTATGTAATTAAATTTGCATATAAATAAAATTAAGATATACAAATTTATACATTTTAATATATAAATCACATATAACTAAAAGTTGTCAAATATTGTATGATTAGAAATCATGATACTAATACAATTTTGTTTCCTGCATGGATATATAAAATAATTATGCTACTGAAAACATTAACTTAGTATTTAAAAATATTGCAATGTATTGTGTGAAGTGTATAACTTAACTATAGGAAAGAATATGATGTAAAAAGGTGAACTTTACCTTATTATTAAGGCGGATTTTCGGTCTACCTGGGTCGTAATAACCCCAGTAAAGACCCACCGCAAAATATCTTGCTTTGCCTTCATTCATTAAATTTTCGCGAAGTATTTATTTTTAAATTTGTCGCAATTAAAACTAACAAGACACTTCGGTCCCAGTCCATTTGAACATTTCTTTTACATGACTTCCAAATCGCACTTGAATGTGACTAAACACTACTGTCATTTGTACCGACGTAACCTCACCAAATGATACAACAGCAATATCATTACATTCACGAAATATTCACTTGTAACAATTTATTTCGTATTATACACTAAAAAAAGTCTGTACGAAGAAACATAGAAACAAGATATATTTTTCGTACTTTAATGTATAATAAAAAAAAATCCCTTCACAATGAAGTAACAACGAAGTCCTTTCGTTAAACCAGTATTGATACTTTATAAGAATAACAATCACTAGTAAGAATATACACACCTATATTACAGATAAAATTGCAAATTTATATAAAAGATATAATTATTACTTTGTTCACTAATCTATTCCAAATTTGTGTATAAAATTTTACTATTCTAAAATAGAGTTGAAAAATATAGTTAAATATCTATTGTGACGTCCACACTCCGTGACACATGCGCACTAGCCATGAGGTCCACACTACAATTCTCATGCGAATCCTCCCTACTTAATTGTAGCGCATTTACACATGTACATATTTATAGTGAACTAAATGTAACCATAATCATAATTTTACTTTATATTTAAATATAGTTCGTATTTACTGGAACATAGGATAAGGACCTTAGTATAATGTCAAATTATAATTTGTATGTTAAAGTGACCAACGTTGTGCATGCTCGTGCTGCTACATGCGTAACTCCACGGAAGTACTAAGAAAGCTCAAACGTTATTCTCTTGTTCACCAATTGTCCATCAACTGTTTTTCCGTTATGCAAAATCGTCCGCGTACGTCTTTCGGACATAGCATACAGTCATTTGGTTTCTGACTCTCAGATAATTCGGACGATTCCCATTTCTGTCCAAAATTTTTGGGCTTTATAAGCAATTGTTTAAAGCGCAGAAAACTATTTCCTAAGATTTTCTGTGTTTGAGTTTTTTGGAAATTAATGTCCTACGTAATATGTATTATATCAGGTCCCGCGGAAAGTTCTGTCGTTTTTTTTCCGCTTTGGTATCACGGCCCTGTAAATACTAATAGCGTTGTCATTAAAACATGTGACTGTTATTCCTATGTTCAGGAGTCTTTTGTCATTCAGTTCAGATACAACAAAGCGTACAGTAAACGATTAGTCACGTAGTAAGGAGCGTTTAACTCCTGTTCATAGATAACACTCGTCTGTATACGGTCCAAATTATTCGACAGACAGTCACTGAGTTGAATTAGAAGGTTCTGCCACATTTGCTATATTATCCTGACATTTCACCAACAGATTACCACCTTTTTAAGACAGCAAAGTATCGACAACCGAAGTCCCGATAACAATTATTTGGTATAATTGTTGCTAAGATACTCTTTACTATTTATTGTCCGGCAAAGCAAATTTGAAACTTCTGACCGCCTGACCAAATAAGCGGGAAATAGACGGTTAGGTCATTCTCACTACTCTTCGGTCTTACACTGCTGCCGTTTGAAGGCAAGTTGCAATGTAGGTAAATGGTTTGTACAAATGATTTTCAATTAGCTGTTGATAATGTAGGACGTTGATAAAAGAACAGAAAACTAGATTATTTAATCTTTTTGTCCTCCTACCTGCGTTAACAAGTAAAACAAACATTTAATAATACGGACGTTAATTTCCAAATGACTCATACACAATAAATTGTTATTATAAAGGAAACCTCAGGAAATATATCAATTTGTTTTAAGATTTAGAAAAGTGAAAAGTAAACATTTTTTTGCAGTTCCTGAATAACAAAAATAGTCTGCGTTTTAGAAAATTATTTACGAAACCCAAAAATTTCTGACTGAAAAATAGCATGCCATCGCAACCGGCAGCCACCGTTTCCGCGCCTCGAAAATTGGCACGTGGTTTATTTATTACCGACTATTCACACGGGGCTCGATCTTCACCAATTTTTGATAAAAAAGTAAATACGATAGCCTTATTCTATCGTGATTTGATGACTATTAGCGAAGATGTAAGAGTAAATGCGATAGCCTTATTCTATCACTGTTGGTTGATTAACAGCAAGACGTGACAACTTGTCCTACATCTCCCACTTCTAGACCCTAAAACCCGCTTGAAACCTCAAGATTGTTTTGCCGGACAATATTCTGTCCTAAATTTTATTTGAAATTTCATAGTTACATTTAGTTTTAGTTCCAACCACTACTAATGTTGCAATCTTATTCCTATGCTGAATCGGTAATGGTGGAAGTAACATGAAAATGATAAAAGGCTTGTGAGCCCCCGTGTTATGGGACTAAAAATTCATAGGGTGATATGTCTATTCTGTACTTTGTGGTGATAGGTTTATTCTGTATCTCGTCTGTGGTGATAGGTCTACTCTGCACCCTGTGTGTGCTTTCATTCATACTCAGTATCGGTTTTCAGAGCACGTGGTACTATGTTCCATAACATGATAGGTCTATCCTACATCTCGTCTGGGATTATAGTAATTTATTCGTCATATTTGACAGACACCATTAAGTCATAAGCTTCCACTCTTAAAAAACTATTTCATTGTACTGTATTTAATTTTTATTTTTTTTTTTAATTTTTTATTTAGATCAGTACCCTTCTTTTATAAATGCTTGCAGTATAGCAAGGTCACCTTGAAGTGTGATTCAGTTATTAGCAAAGTATAAAATTTCACTGTATTTTAGTTCCATTATTATTTATTTGTAAACATATATTTTAAAAAGTAAGTATGGGAGGAAAATGGTCTAGTATGGATCCTTCTCAAGTGGAAGTGCCAGAAATAAATGTTTTATTACAAAGAGACCCATATTTAAAATCATATGAAAATGAGATTCGTAAAAGGTAATACCTTTTTTGCATATATAAATATCCATTTTAG